TCTGGGCAAAATTTGGAGTTAAAAATCTACCCAAAGTTTTTCAGGCATATTCTCAGCTTGGCCACACATTCTTAACTAAGCAAGTTGATGCTGAGGTGGTCAGTCTCCCACTGTCCTGCCATCTGACCTCCCAGAAGATTCTGTGTACTTGTGACTGGGGCAACCTTGGAGCTAAGTGGTCAAGGAAACATTTCTGCCATAAATGGGAATGATGAATACTTTGAAAACAGAAAAAAATGGAGAGTGAGAAGCAACAGCAAATTTATAATCTGTTTAAATCACCACTAATTATAGGTATCATAAGGGTAAATAGACTAACTGTTGAGGCAAATACAGGGAATGCCAGACAACAAAGAGACAAACAAAAAATGTGTGTAAACAAAAGAGTTTAATGGAGGTAGACCACAAGGCAGATGAAGAAGACAGTGCAGAGATAAACGTACATTCAAACCTACATACACCTGAGATTCACCAACTGGAAAGAGAAGACCAACTACAGAGATAAACAGAGGTGGGTGATATCTGCAGCAATGAACCTCAAGGACTCTGAATGCTAAAAAAGACCAAGGGGATCTGAACCATGGGTATATTCAAATTGAAAATATTAAAATATGTAATCTTTCAATAAAAAACATTGTCATCAAGTTACTTGCTAACCGGAAACTATGACCGTGTTCACTCCATCTCCTATAGGAAGTATCAGTCCATGTACAGGACCATCTCTATGGCTTAGTGAAAGGCTTTCAAGTCATAGTGAACACAGACACCATCAGGACTTCCAAACAAAATGGCCAACAGTCGTTCTCTATACTGTTATTTGTTCCCAGCTATGTTCTGCTAATGGAAATTATCCATTTCTAGACCAGAGGCATAAGGGTTCTATTTCCCAGCTAGTGAGACAAGTGTGTGATGCAACACTGTGAGCTGTGAATTTCAGGCTGGTGTGTGCGCGCGCCAGCAGCAAGGTGTTGACTGCACTGAAATGGCAGGTGGCAGAATGTACTTCTGTGGGTGCAAAGACGGCTTTTGTGTCTGACCATTTGCGCCAACAGTGACTTCCACATGCACAGAAACGCAGCAGTTGTGGGATGACCTGTCGGAACTGATGCTGGAACCTCCACTATCAACTGACATGCCTCCCATCAGCCATGGGATTATCACTAATTCCCTGTAGCTTCCAATGATCTTTACTTACTTTCATGAACTAACACCAAGCTGTGGAGCCACTAACATAACATAAATATTACCTCTTCTGTTGAAGAATTCCCTAGAATATTTGCCGGACAGGGCTATATTGCGTGGTATAGGGCCCAGCAGCTCTATCACATGGGCCAGATGATCTTCGTCCCTGGTGTAATCCTCCCCACTGTGAGGCTCAAACAGGTAATCACCGGTAGCCAGTTCAAATGCCTGCAGGAGAAAACAAACTCTTGCAACCAGGAACACATCTATCTCTTTGTTAAACTTCTTCTTCTTAGTGTTCATTCGCTTTGGATAGTTATGGCTCCTGGACTTTCGTCCTGATCCAGAATTTTGAGTTTTGCTTGCACATCCGTTTGGCGATTTTGGCTTTTAGTCATGCCCTGATTTAGAAGAAAACACCCCAAATTAGTCACCTCCTAAGTCTGTTCACAGGAAAATTTTACACCAACTTGGCTAAAAAAAAAAAAAAAAAAAAAACTATTTGGTTTAAAGGACACCCCCCCCCCCCCCATGTTATTTTTAATTTACCATATTCACACCCTGAGCTCAGACATTTGCGAAGGTGTGAACACAGCCAATAGCATTAACCGTAAGTCTCATAAAGAGGTCGCTACTGACAAGTCAATGGAAGTGTCCGTTCTGAGGCTTCTCGGGGCGATAAGGGTTAACTTCAGATGCTGAAAAGAACCCTTTTCATGCAAGTGGGGCATCAGACATATGATGCTAGCCTAAGATTTTTATAGCACTGATTGGCACCTTTTCCACTTTCCAATGTTACGCTGAGCTATGAGGAGAAATGGGACTCACGGTCAATGGCAAGTGTGACTAGCAAGACCTGCCCGCGTTAGGAAAAGTCTTCCACAATGATAGCCTGGCATTTCAGAACTGTTGTCAGCATTTGTGTTTAGCATATTTCTTCTCAGACGCTCAGTTCTCATCCTTTCTGCAATCATTTCTTTTTTCCCTCTCATTCCCTTCCTGATGTGACCCTTCCACACAACACAGTCCATAGCATGTTGTTTCCAGGTAGTCCACCTTAATATCTGTATCATTAATGCCCCGCTTGCACACATCTTTATATCATAGTAGAGGTCAGCCTTAACATGTTCTGCCCGTTTTTAATTTCCCATAGAGGATAACGTTAGGAACTCTGCCATCCTTCAGGTGTGACCCAGCCATATGAGCCTTTGTTGAGAAAACTGTTTAATACTTGCTTTCTGATAGCTCAGTGTTTTTGGAGCTTGTCCTGCCAACTAATGCCAAGTATTCTTCTTAGGCATTGCATATGAAAGCTATTTAGCCGTTATAGTATTAAATACAACATACAATGTGGCTAGAAAGCTCAACAGAGGAAACAGAAGAGATGTGCACAAATACAATCGAACATTTCGACAACAGTCTTTATCAATAGTTAAAAGTTAGTTTTGTATCCTTTACAGGACGGTGCAGAACCAACGCCAGCATTTTTTTTTAGCTTTTGTGGTTTTTCTAGGCATATTTACATTCAGTAGTTTGCCACTGCTTTCTGAATGGTTGACTCCTGGTACCACTGTCAAAACCAACTCAAGATAGTCTGCTGCCAAACTGCCCGCAACTGGGATAGAAACCTGGCACCCAGCATTACAAATCAAGCTTGCAAACGCCTAAGCCACAGACAACTGAAAAAATAGTACACCATCGATAAAACTGGTCGAAACTTTTGGTTGTATTTGTGCCCATCTTTTCCCATTCCCTCTGCTGAGTTTTCTAGTAATATTTTGTTGTATTTAGTACTTCCTTTCATTAGCAGCCTCCCCCCCCCCCCCCCCCCATCCCATTTACATCATTACTTTTAATATATTTTACAGACCAATCGTCACTGAATTCGTGATGTGGTCTACGTCATGCTGCCTGCCTTTACTTCCCATGACACTGCTGGTGCCTGTTACAGGCTGGGTCAAACTGGGAGCCAAGGTCGATTTAAAAAAAGAAAAAGGACACCAATGCAGACTCGAACACTTGACCTCCAAGTCAGCAGGCGGGTGTCTAGCAGCTACGCTGCCCGGCTCCCAGCCGTTTTCAAAGAGGAGGGTACAAAGACATTTTCAGCTTAACTATAATTAAAAAATGTTTGAAAACTATTTATACAACAAAAAGCCAATGATGTTTTCATGTTCATGAGCAGTCTGTCCATCTACCATTAAAAATCTAATAAAACAGGAAAAATCATGCATTTAAATTAGGACAAAGAACACATTCTGACCAAAACACATCAACACACTTTCTATTTAGCCTTGTCTCTAACAGTCATAACAACAAAACAGCGCTGCCAGCTTGGTGTGTAGAGATATCTCCGTTGTTCATTGTTCAACATCAGACCAAATATAGCAGATGTCATCAAGACAAGACAATGTCAAACATCACATTGATGTTCAAACACTAAATCACTAGTTGTTGGATACTGTTTTTAAAAAAAATGTCATTTGACACTTTGATTCATGTAAATATTTTCACCGCCTTTACTTCTCAGGACCGCACCTGGTACCCCCCTCAAGGCTGGGTCGACCTAGGAGCCACGGTAAATTTTTTTTTTAAAGTTTGGCTTTATCAGGACTTAAACCCACAACCTTCCAATCTGCAGGAGAACAACTAGATACTACACCACAGGGACTCCCATAGTCATGACGAGCATATTATTTAATTAAAATTTTTTTTCGGCTGGGTTTGTCTGGATATCTTCTGTAAACTGGTGGTACTGTGTCCACAAATATAAACACATATGTGTACAGTGATGACGTAAATAGCGGGTGACTGCAGTCGAGCTGATTGCAAGAAATGCTAATTATGGCACAAACTGTGACTAGTTAACAGCGCAGGAAATAGAAAAGAAGCATACAAACAAAATCAAACTTTGTTTAAAACATTGAGTTGTGTATTTGTGTGTCTTATTTCTTGCGTTGCACTTCCTAGTCACATTTTGTGTCATGTTTAGCATTACACACATGTATATCTATGCAGGAACACACAGAAAACAAAAACATATACACATCACAGCATTATCATGTTAGTTAAGTTAGCAGACATTTTAGCTCGCTGCAGACCGGCTGCCCCATATCTGCTCCATTTCTGTACAAACAGAAATCACACAAAATATTCTTCACAAATTCTTGCATCTAAAGTGCAGAGCAGGGCTATCCATGGCAACCTGGTAGAAAATAAACATATCAAGATTTCCCACCTTGGTTCATGCTGTAAAGCGTTATCTTTGTGCACCACCTATGAGCGTACCAAGTGAACGTCTGTTTAGTACAGCTGGAAATACCTTCAGTGAGACAAGAAGCTGCCCTAATGCTGACAGCTAATGCCGCTTTCATGGATTAACTAAGCTGTCAGTGACAATTTACAAGTTTATAAAACTAAGAATACTTTCATTCCTATGTAATAGTTACCACAGACTGACTGACTGAAGGATGCAAAACATGAAATGTTTTTAAATGTTTACTATTCTGTACTACATTTTGTGAAGTAAAATCTCAGCGTGCATTTGACATTATGGATGTTTTCTTTTTTAGATCTATTTTATACACGAAAGTGGAAGAATGGGCCTCAGTTTGAATAGTGGGAAGACAGAAGTAATGGTAGTATCAAAGAAAATAATTATTCCTAAATGTGTAATAAAAGTCAATGGTTTTATTTTGGACATGTACAGAAATTTAAGTATCTGGGCACATGGAAAACAACAGATGGAAGATGCATTACTGAAATAGGAAACAGAATAGGACAGGCAAAAAACTGAATTTTATAAAATGAAGAACATCTTATGCAATTTATCTTGGTTATTGAAGGATAGAAAAAGAATTCTTGCTTGCTACATACATCCAGTTTTAACATATGGCTGTAAGTCCTGGACAATCGGTAGGCAGGCCAAACAATTTCTTGAGGCCTCAGAGATGTGGTTTTACAGAACAATGCTTAAAATACCTTGGACAGCCACACAAAAAAGCAACCAAGAGGTTTTGATAGAGGCGGGAGCCCGAAGACAACTACTCACAGACATCAGAAAGAGACAGTCATCATTTTTCGGCCACGTTATAAGATGAGGGAAAATGGAACATGTGGTGACCACTGGAAAGATCTGTGGAAGGAGGGATAGAGAAAGACAACGGGAGAAGATTCTTGACAGTCTTGATGCATGGCATGGAGGTGTGTCAGCACACAAACTAATACATGCTGCAGGAGATCGCAGAATGTGGCGAGGCATAATCGCCCATGCCAGTCGGCAAAGCACCTGATATTGATGATTCACTAATTCGTATTCGGCCGAATATATATATATATGTGTGTGTGTGTGTGTGTGTGTGTGAATATGTGTGAGTGTGTGTATATATGTGTGTGTGTGTGTGTATATGTGTGTGTGTGTGTGTGTGTGTGTGTGTGTGTGTGTGTGTGTGTGTATTTTTATATTATATATTAACACACGCATGTACATATAAGTGAATATATATACACACACATGTACGTTACACCCACACATATATATATATATAACAAATTTACATTTAAAAAACTCAAGGACCCTTCCTACGTCAACAGCAGATATTAGACGTGTTGTTAGACCCATATTTTTAAAGACCTCCTGCTGGCTGCCTTCATTTCTTAGGATATTTCCCCCTACCAATTTTAGGCTATGGGCAAGCTGTGAGTCCAGGTAAAATATAAATATTTGCCTTTGTGAGGTTTGTCTTCTTCTTCTGCGTTCGATATCAGTCATGCTAAACATTGAGTTCCGTCTGGGTCACAAATAGGATTGTGCGTTTAAGGTCGCCACCGGTCCCCCATAGCTTCTCTTGCAATGTGGCTCCTTTGGGCCAGATCCACAGTCTTTGCTGGGAGAGGTTAGGGCAGTACTGTAGTATATGCTCAGGGGTCTGTCTTTCTGCTCCACAATCACAGGCAGCAGATTCTTTTATGCCTATCCTGTACAAGTGTGCTCGAAGACCACAGTGTCCAGTAAGAAGTCTAAAAATTGATGTTTGTTCTTTCCTGTTGAGTTTGTTTATGCTGTCACTCTCTGGTCTGTAATCTCCATTCTGCCTTCTCCACTCCCGCTTGAAAGACTGCTTTAGCGCTGTTTTGGTTTCCTTGTAGCTGTGTGGTGGATGAGGTTGTGGAAGATTACTCCCAGCTTTTGCCAACTCATCTGCTCTCTCATTTCCTTGAATACCACAGTGGGCTGGTATCCACTGCAAGACCAGTTCTGCTTCCTTGGAGAGTAAGCCAATGTTGGTCCTTAGATCAGCAATTAGTTTGTCTTGTTTGTTGCTGGATAGTGCTTGGAGAACAGACAATGAGTCACTATGTGAGGTTTGTAATTCAGAACGTTTGGTCACTGTACTACCAGTACAGAAAAGGCGACGGTGAAACAGATGTACTCACAGTCCAGCAGGCATTGCCAAGGTCAGCAATTTTCACAGGAAAGACATCACAGATCTCATGTACTGGGTCCAGTTTGTGACTGACTGGAGTGTTAGCTGAAAGGTAGAGCAGTATGTTACATGTCCACTCACACAGGGCGGTATGTTACATGTGGTTGTGGGACAGCTGTCCACTCACACAGGGCGGTATGTTACATGTGGCTGTGGGACAGCTGTCCCCTCATACAGGTCAGTTTGTTACATGTGGCTGTGGGACAGCTGTCCCCTCACACAGGGCGGTATGTTACATGTGGTTGCGGGACAGCTGTCCACTCACACAGGGCAGTATGTTACATGTGGTTGTGGGACAGCTGTCCCCTCACACAGGGTGGTATGTTACATGTGGCTGTGGGACAGCTGTCCCCTCACACAGGGTGGTATGTTACATGTGGTTGTGGGACAGCTATTCTTTCACACAGGGTGGTTTGTTACATGTGGCTGTGGGACAGCTGTCATCTCACACAGGGTAGTGTGTTACATGTGGTTGTGGGACAGCTATTCTTTCACACAGGGTGGTTTGTTACATGTGGCTGTGGGACAGCTGTCATCTCACACAGGGTAGTGTGTTACATGTCGAGAGGCAGAGAGAGAGAGAGAGATAGAGAGAGAGAGAGATAGAGAGAGAGAGAGAGGAGAGAGAGAGAACGAACGAACGAACGAACTTTATTTTCAAAGGGTTACAAATTAGGCACGCAGGCCTGTCTTATATTCGGCCCTTTCAAACTTCCATCTTTCGCACAGCAGTTGTATTTCATCAATGAAGCATGTTATATTTATGTAATAATATGCATATCATATATATAAAGTCAAAAACAAAAGCATGGGTGGTAAAATATGTGCGCACGCTCACGCGCGAACACACACACCCACATACACACACAAGCCAAATCACTCACTTACACATAGGCACCCAGTACACACATACATCTACATACATACGAACATGCACGCATGCATGCATGCATCCATCCATCCATCCATCCATCCATCCATCCATCCATCCATCCATACATACATACATACATACATACATACATACATACATACATACATACATACCCTACCCTACCCTACATACACACTCACACACTCTCTCTCTCTCTCTCACACACACACACACACACAAACACACACACACACACACACACACATACATAAAAACATACATACATAAAAACATACATACATACATACATACATACATACATACATACATACATACATACATACATACATACATACATACATACATACATACATACATACATACATACATACATACATACATACATACATACATACATACATACATACATACATACATACATACATACATACACTGATACACACGCTCTAAAACACACACGCATTCAACCCAGACACATACAGTCATGGGCACACTCACACAAACACATACACACACGCAGACAGGGAAACAGACACACATTGACATACGCAACACCCACACATACACAGGTATACACACACAGACACGCACAGTCACACATACGCACACAGACATACACGCAGACGCATAACCCGACACAAGCAGAGACACGCAGACATTATATAATAGACACACCAATAGAGACACACAGATACACACAAAGCCATGCACAGCCACAGACAAACACAGATACACATGCAGCCATACACACCTACAGACACATAATGGCACACACACACACAGAGACATACACAGAGACATACACAGAGACATACACAAACACATACTAACACACCCACAGACACACAAATACTCTCACAGACACGCAGACGCACACACACACATTATCAAAAAGAAGGTAATCATGGACAGTTGGTAGATTAGTGAAAACTTTTTTGGAAGCTGCAGAGACGTAGTTTTATAGATGAATGATGAGAATACACTGGACAGATAAAAAAAGGTAATGAAAATGTCTTGAAAGAAACTGACTCACGAAGAGAACTGATTATCCAGATCAGAAAGAGACAGTCTACATTTTTTAATCATGTGATGAAAGAAAAAAAAACTGGAGTACATCGTGACTGTAGGAAAGTTGGAGGGGAGGCAGAGGGGAGAAAAGATGCTGGACAGTCTGACATCATGAGGTTCATCTGTGTCAAAGTTGACTGAAAGAACACTAGATAGAATGTTGTGGATGGACATGGCCACCATCGCCACACAGCATGGACTGTAAGAAGTAGTGGCACCTAGGCATTCTTTAGTCTTTCCATTTCTACCTTTAGATATAGGGCTTTCTTACAATCTTTAATCATTTAACCTTTTATATATAAAATATGAGTTATCTCAGGTAGAGAAAGCTTTGCAGAGTGAGGCAACTGGTCCCTTTCCGTTTTTCCAGACAAAAGTGTTGTATTGCGTTATGAGGAGGCATGGGACTCACGACCCATGGCAATGGCTTGCGTGACTAGCAATACTCGCCCGTGTTAAGAAAAATCTTCCACAATTATATCAGGGGATTTCAGGACCATTGTTGTCAACATTTGTGTTTAGTCTGTTTCTTCTCAGACGCCCAGCTCTCACCCTTTCTGCAATCATTTCTTCCTTCATTGCCATTCTCTTCCTGATGTGCCCCCTACACAAACATGATCCACTGCATTTTGTTCTAGCAAGCCCACTTCAATACCTGTATTATTTATGTCCTACTTGCATGCATCTTTATATCAAAGCAGAAGTCAACCTCAACATCTTCTACCCAAAGCATGGGAGGTAGTACCCGAGATATGTGGCTAGTGATGATAACTCTAGCATACATGAAGGTCAGTCACTTGACAAGCAAGCTATTTTGCCATGCAGTTACCTGTAAGCTTGTGAAAATGAACACTAAAGGAACATGTTAAACACAATATTCTTACTAACACTATGCTATTGATGTTAAACATGGACGCTGTCTTCAGAAGGCAGAGGGAAAATAGCCACGACAGAAATGTTTGGTGTAATGAGGAAAGATCAACTTAGGAACGATGATATCAGGAGGAATGTTGAATTAGGAATCAACATCACAGCACTCGGGACACCCCCATAAGTGCTCCATCTCTATCTTCAGCAGCCAACAAAGAGTTTCAATTATGATGGCGCCAGTAACTGTATGATTGTATATCCATCTCATCCATTCCTTGAGGTCAGGAGGAGAATCAGCACAGAACCAATACTGAACATTATAGGTAGTCAACATATCATGGCCATGTAACAAGACTGGCATCAGACGGGGACCCACAGAGAGCAATGTTATACAGATACAGTGGTAACAGAGCCAAAAGTCAACCACACAGTTGATGGACCGCATAAGTATCAGAAACACTGAAAAGTACTATATACAAAGCAAACTTAAGGGCCTATTCCAGAGATCTCTTCCTGCCATGATGCTGCAAAGCATTCCAGGACTAGATTAAAGAAAAAGAAGTTTAATATTATAGCAGGAGGTGGGGGCGGGGAGGAAGGGGAAAAGAAAGGTTGAGAACTACTGCCGCAACCTATCCATCTGTAAAGATGACAAATACTGCTGCTTGCAAATGTATCAATCAAGCATCGTTAATCGCAAGTATTACTAAACAGTTACACTACATGGACACTTTCATCTGCTGTCTCAATAAAACTGACCAACAAAACATAGCCAAACAGAAGAAGAAACAACAACAGAGCAAGAACTCGTGCTAATACCCCAAGCTGCACTCACCTTCATTTGGGGTGCCTTCCATCTGCATATCCTCCACTTCAACATCACAGGAATCCAGCGAAGCACTCTTCACCAGCGGCAGAGAATCAGGCTCCCCCCGAGGGCAGCCTGATGCTGGGTTCTCTCCGCTGTCGCCGCCAACAGCATTGCTCATGCAGCAGTCGCTCTCTGGAGCTCCAACAATGTCTTTCTTATGGATGCTGAGAACCTGCTGCCCATCGCTCCGTCTGCCCACTGCTTCGGTGCAGGTATAGTCTCTGGACAGTTGAGCCACATGCCCGTTACACAGAGGAGCTGGTGGCGAGTGGATGATAGTGGCGGAGCTGTCAGTTTTATTGTCTGTGGCATTGGAGGAGGAGGAGCAGCTATTGCTGTCGTTGCAGCTGGTGTGGTTATCTTCGTCAGCACTGCTGTCGTTGGTGGCGTGGATATTGTTAACTGTCGGGCTCTCAGGGCATGACGGTTTGAGGACTGGAGCCTCCTTGGCCACTAAACAACCATCAACATTATTTCCTGTGGAATTACACTTCTGTTTGTCCTGTGTCACTTTGTTGTTCTTGCTCCCATTCACTTGTGTGCTGTTCTGTTCATGTGACTGTGATTTGTTCCCTGTTAATGATATTTCAGAAAGGTAGAAGAGCACAAATACACTTGGAATTTTTTTTACCTTAGAGGAATTAAGCAAGATCACATCGTTTCTTAAAAAGCTAGTAAAATCACAACATTTCAAAATTAGCTAAGATCACACATTTCTTTTACTTCTTGACAGCAAATCAAGATTATGGACTGTGTTTACTTCTCAAATACTGGGGGAGGGGTAGGGTAGACCCCCCCCCCCCCCCCACCAACAAGCAAGTCATAAAAGAAAACTAATTGAGATTGTTTCCTTCGAAGTCAAAGTGCATTTGTCTGAGAGGAGAGGAACCAAAAGTCTGCAAACAAATATTAATAAGCCAGATCTGAAATATGGATGAGCATGCAAAATGCAGGTTCTAGAACAAGACCAAAGTTTAGAAGTGGACTAACGAGAAATGTCTGTCAGTTTACAGCTGGTGAACACCAAGGAGAAGAAAAAGAAATGATTTCTTGTAAACTTACCAGGATCAAATTCTTCCAATAACAAAGAAGAATAAATCATTTCTAAAAACATCAATGAAGTTCACATCATTTCTTAAAAAGTTATGTAGATCACATCATTTTTTTCAAAACTAATGAAGAACACTTTTATTAAACACTAATGAAGTTTGCATATTTTTAAAACTGCTGACCACATCTTATAGCAAGTCCTGATTGGTTTAACGGGATGCCACTTCCACAAATGCCACATGACAATAAAGATTTCCTTTTGTTCTTATAGTTCTTACTGATACAGCTTGCCGGTGCCCCCCGCCCCCCTCCAAACAACCTTTCACCACCCAAACAACCTTTCACCACCCAAACAGCCTTTCACCACCCAAACAACCTTTCACCACCCAAACAACCTTTCACCACCCAAACAACCTTTCACCACCCAAACAACCTTTCACCACCCAAACAGCCTTTCACCACCCGAACAACCTTTCACCACCCAAACAACCTTTCACCACCCGAACAACCTTTCACCACCCAAACAACCTTTCACCACCCAAACAACCTTTCACCACCCAAACAACCTTTCACCACCCAAACAACCTTTCAATACATACACACCTGTGACAGGAATGGAAATGTAATGGAAATTTGACAGTAATGGAAATGTGGCTGGAATGGAAATGCAACAGGAATGGAAATGCAATGGAAATGTGATAGAATGGAAATGTGACATGAATGGAAATGTGACAGTAATGGAAATGTGACAGGAATGGAGATGTGACAGTAATGGAAATGTGACAGCAACAAAAATGTGACAGGAATGGAGATGTAATGGAAATGTGACAGAAATGGAAATGTGATGGAAATGTGATGAAAATGGAAATGTGACGGAAATGGAAATGTGACAGGGATGAAAATATGCTAACACACTATGGCTAACCCAGTGACGATAAGAAAACCTACTAAGTTATCTAGTCCAGTGGGTTCCAAACTGGAGCGCAAAAACCCATTTTTAAACTGAGTGTACGTGTATTCATAATAAACTATTATACAAATGCTTTTTCAGTAAAATTATAAATAAATTTTTAACAACAGATAAAACAATAAGCTGAGGATATTGTGTTATTTAACACTTTGATTTCAGTTTATGTTTAATTTATCTCTTAAAGTTCTCATTAATAGTACTTGGGATTATTCTTTTTCTCCTTTTAATCTTTTTTTTAAATTAGTCTGAAGCAGTGTGTGTGTGTGTGTGTGTGTGTGTGTGCGTGCGTGCGTGTGTGTGTGTGTGTGTGTGTGTGTGTGTGTGTGTGTGTGTGCAGGCGTGTGGTCTTGCCATAAAAAAAAAAAGTTAAGGTCCCTGGCATATTGGGTATATAGTTAAGTTAGTCCTTAACAGGACATTGCAGAAACAACCCCGGCATTTGTGTGTGTGGCTGTTGTGGTTTTTCTAGGCAAAAGTACCCCCAGTAGTTTGCCATTGCTTTCAGGACAGTCGGCTTCTCCATAATATTGGGTACACATAATACCAACCAATTTTACTTCCCAGGACTGTACCTGGAACCCATATAAGGCTAAGCTGAACTTGGAAGCCAACGTCATTTAAACAAAAAACAAAAAAAATTGGCTTCGCTAGGACCCAAACCCACCGATCCAAAGGGTAGCCTTTATCCACTATACCACATCCACCCTTCCCCCCCTGCCATTTATTCACCTGAAAAATGTTGAAAACCACTGAGCTATAATCTAGACAATAAGCGTTACCTTCTGCATTGTTGTTTTCTCCATTGGCCTGTGTGGCCGAGTGCTGACCATTGACCAGTTTAGTGTTGTGGTCTCCGCCGGCCCCATCGCTGCCGGGCACTGCTGTTTTGATGACGCTGGTCTTGCATGCTTTATTCAATGGCTTATTGGAGCTGTCGCTGTTGACCATTTTGGCGACAACCTCATCCTGTGACACACAAACTCAAGCTCATGAACTCTTTCCTAAATAGGAATTCAACTTTTTAAGTGCCAGAAATAGCTATTTAACTTCCACTCGACAGCAACACTCACGCTCAACCTGACACTTTCCCTAGAAACCAACACTCTATATCAACTCAAGCCTCTCCCTACACACCAAAACTATATATCAACTCTACTCATTCCCTACACACCAACACTCTAGATCAACTCCACCCTCTTTCTACACACCAACACTCTATATCAACTTTAGCCTCACCCTACACACTAAAACTCTATATTAAATCTACCCTTTCCCTACACATTAACACTCTAGATCAACTCTACCCTCACCCAACACACTAAAATTCCAAATCAACTCTACCCTCTCTCTACAAACCAACACTCTATATACACTCTAACCTCTCCATACACTCTATAATAACTCTACCCTCTCTCTCCCTACACATCAACACTCTACCTAAACTTGAAACGCTCTCTAAACAAACAAACTCTTCCTCTACTTCACATTCGCTACATACCAACACTATTTCTACCTGTCACTTCCTACACAGCAACACTAACTCAACCTTATGATCTCTATACACTAACTCTCCTCTTACACATCAACACTACATTCACCTGACACTCTCCCCCCAACCTAGCACTATCCTTACATATCAACACTAACCCACCCTGATAAGCTCCCTGCACATCAACACTCTACACTAACCCGACACTCTCCTTACACACCAACACTCTCCCTACACAGCAACACTCAACCCCAACCTGACACTCTCCCTACACAGCAACACTCAACCCCAACCTGGCATTCTCCTTACACAGCAACACTCAACCCCAACCTGACACTCTCCCTACACAGCAACACTCAACCCCAACCTGGCACTCTCCCTACACAGCAACACTTAACCCCAACCTGGCACTCTCCTTACACAGCAACACTCAACCCCAACCTGACACTCTCCCTACACAGCAACACTCAACCCCAACCTGACACACTCAATACATACTACCTGACCCTCTACAGTCCCTACCTGCCCAGTACCGGCACCCTTCTCTCTGTCCAATTCCTCCAGCTGCTGTAACTGTATCTGCAGAAGCTGTTCCTGTTTTTTCTGTTTCTTCTTGATTTTCTTTTTCTTATTTTTGGACATCTTTGACAAGTCTTGCGGCTTTTCTTTGGGTGCAGTACTAACTATTCATATGAAATGTATAGATTTAAAAAACAGTTTTAACAGAGCATCACTACATTTCATACTTAATCTTCTTCTTTTTCTTCACGTTCACCAGCTGTAAACTCTTAGCAGAAAGTTCTGGTTGTTTATTCACTTCTGGACTGCACTCCTCTTCCAGAACCTGAGTGTTGCGTGTGCATCCGTTTTACAGATCTGACTCATTTGTATGCAGACTGCTGGTTCCTTGTCTCTCAGGCAGATGCACTCCAATTCTGATGGAAGCTCCCAATTAGTCGACTTTTACCACATACTTTTTGGGTAGGCAGTGGGTCTATTCTTCCCTATAACAGGGCCCAAGAACCCACATGGGGATCCATAGGTAATGAACAAGTATCGGACAAGCCTCAAGTAAGTTCATAAGTTTAACAGCTGATGGAAGATGTATCAAAGACGTTAAATGTAGAACAGCTCAAGCAAAGGCATTTTACAAAATGAAGAATATATTATGCAATCTTTCTTTGTCACCTGAGATGAGAAAGAGAATTCTCAAAAACTATATAAGTCATATCTTGATATATAGAATATAGAAGTGAATCATGGACAGGTGGTAAATTTGTGAAAACTTATTTGGAAGCTGCAGAGATGTTTTAAAGATGAATGATGAGCTTACCCTGGATAGATTAAAAAGAATAATGAGGACGTCTTGAGGAAAACTGACTCATGAAGAGAACTGATTGCCCACATCAGAAGGAGACATTCTACATTTTTGGGTCATGTGATCAGAAGGAGAAAACTGGAGTAAATCATGACAGCGGGAAAGTTGGAGGGGAGGAGAGGCAGAGGGAGACCCAGAGAACAGATACTGGACAGTCTGACATGGCATGGAGGATCAGAAAGTTGTGGATAGACATTATTACCAGCACCACATGACATGGACTTTAAGAAGAACAACAACAACAAGTATGTTTGGTCCCATGGTATATTTCATTTACAAATCAACCAGAGACTCCATAAGTAACTTCAGCAGGAAGTGAACTATCTGTAGAATACAGTATTGACTTCACTGCATTGGATTTTATCCCATACAACAAAGCCATGGAACGAACTCACCCCTTCAGAAGGCAAGACAAACAGCCTGACCATTTCTCAATGGACCGCCCCCCCCCCCCCCCACAGCAATTACACTTACATTTTAAACGTGTTGCTGAGTGAATTACAAAACATAGTACTAGAGACAACATCACAGCTGGTGAACGCAAAGAAGAAGAAGAAGACTATAAGTGACAGACGTGAGAAAGCAAGCATGTATACAGCACTTACCAGCTGATCCTGGCAATTTGAGACCCAGTCTCTGAAACTCTATAGCATCAGCGGCCAGCTTCCTGATGTGGGACTCGTCGACACACATGAGGATGTTCTCAGGTTTGATGTCGGTGTGGATGATCTTACATTTAGAGTGAAGATAATCCAGCCCTTCTAGAACCTGCAACAGGAGGCTTTCAGGTCAAAAAGGTGGCAAGAAAAATCTGAACAACGCAAACAGTACATCATATATAGCATTGTGGAAACAGGGGTCATGGATGGATATCATCAAGAGAGCTGTTCCAGGCAACCAGGGATCGTGATCTGTGGAGAGACATAAGCCCCTACACCAGTTGGCAGGGCACATGATGATGAGGCGACTGATTAGGGGTGGGTCTTTTGGAGCCAGAGTGTATCCTGGCAGACAAGGAACTAACAGTCTGCAAACAAATAAGCTACATCTGCTAAACAGATGTGCATGCAAAACTCAAGGTCTGGATCAAGATGAAAAGTCCAAGAGTGGGCAAACAACTAGAACTTTTGGCCAGAATCTACAGCTGGTGTTTGACACAATGGTGATACAGTTACTTGACATTTCATATGAATAGCAGCAACACCTTGAGATAAGGGGATAAAGAGGATACAACACAACTGAGACTACATCATGTCGCATGATACCAACAGGAAAGGCTAAACCGTGAACAAATGCCCAATGAAGCAAGAGATGTCGGCAAGGGAAGGCTTAACTGTGAACAAATGCCCAATGAAGCTAGAGATGTCGGTCAGGGAAGGCTAAACCATGAACAAATGCCCAATGAAGCTAGAGATGTCGGTCAGGGAAGGCTAAAACGTGAACAAATGTCCAATGAAGCTGAAGATGTCGGCCAGAGAAGGCTAAACCATGAATAAATGCCCAATGGCGCTGGAGATGTCAGCCAGGGAAGGCTAAACCGAGAACAAATGTCCAATTAAGCTGCAAATGACAGCCAGGGAAGGCTCAAATATAAAAAAATGTGTTGGCCGAAAGGCACAAATACTGCAGCTATGCTGTAAACACGCATATTGCAAGTTACAAAAATCGGGCGAATGATGAAGAAAAAGATATGTCAAATGAATATATGCTGGTGAAGCCTGTTGTGAAGAAGTCCGCATTCAGAGAATAAATAAGTCAAGATCCTGATACCCAGTCCTTACAAACCCAAGTGGATCAGTCACTGTTACGATGGTTTAGACATGTATGCAGAATGGGAGAAAATCGGCCACCATGGGAGGCTAAGAACCAGGAAACCAGACCATCAGGGTGACCCAGGGTCTGTTGGGAAGACAACATCCGACGGTCCCTAACTGACAGAGGACTGGAATGGAACAAGGCCAGAAAGAAAACTGCAGATAGAGACGTCTGGCAATCTCTCTGGCGAACCTCCACTTTGCAGGGTAGAAGAGGAGCGACTGTGTAAGTTAGTAAGTGAGAAAACTGTTGCGACCTATCCTTAGCCTGCATATCACAATAAAAAAATGACATATAGTCCAAGATGAAGAGAGGGAGCAGAATGGGGGTTCCTGACAGACATGTAGCTAATAACGCAAGGAGGATGTGCCTGACCTAGTTGTGAATAGTCTGCCACAGAAGTCACTTCCTACTCCACTCGTATACTTGCTGGACTGACAGGCATGTATCACCATACGGGACCCTCTTATGCTGATGAATTTCTAAAGGACTCACTACTTCAATGATCAAATGAACAGATAAAAGAATGCTGCTCCTCTTTGGTGCCTGCCAAAAGTGGGGTGACTATTTTTAAACTGTCATTATGCACTAAAATTAGATAAGTCAAGACTCCCCCATCAAGCTCCCACATGGACACCGAAATGGTAAAGAAAATGGGGAAAACAAAGAGATACCCTGCGTAGAACTATCATCAGGGACGGCTCAACCATACACCTACATCCAAGACCTAATGCAGATGGCGAAGAACTGCCAGATATGAAGAGCTATGACCTCTGCCCTATGTGCGGCTCTAGGCTCAAGAGGCAATACTAACTAATAGTGACCACACCATGCTTTGCATCGTGATGTCACGTGCTGCAGAGTCTTGACATCATTAGTATTATATTAACAGATTATAAGACAAAGGCATAGTTACTGTAAGGTGATGAGAGCACATGTGGTTACCTGTCTAATGATCAGCTTGACATTATGTAACGGGATGCCCTGGTAGTTGGAGCGGATAATCAGCTTCAGCAAGTTGTTTCCCAGCACCTCAAACACCATGCAGACGTCTGCAGCCTGCCGTCAAGGTTGATACCGGGTGAAAGTCACTAGATACATGCTGCTGCAAGCATGTTGAATCACAAGCTCTCTCTCTCTCTCTCTCTCTCTCTCTCTCTCTCTCTCTCTCTCTCTCTCTCTCTCTCTCTCTCTCTCTCTCTCTCTCACATCGTTCATTGTGCCGTCAAGGTTGATACCGAGGGAAAGTCACTAGATACATGCTGCTGCAAGCATGTTGAATCACAAGCTCTCTCTCTCTCTCTCTCACATCGTTCATTGTGCCGTCAAGCAAGGTTGATACCGAGGGAAAGTCACCAGACACATGCTGCTGCAAGCATGCTGAATCACAAGATCTCTCTCTCTCTCTCTCTCACATCGTTCATTGTGCCGTCAAGGGTGATACCGAGGGAAAGTCACTAGACACATGCTGCTGCAAGCATGCTGAATCACAAGCTCTCTCTATCTCTGTCTCTTTCTCTCTCACAACGTTCATTGTGCCGTCAAGGTTGATACCGAGGGAAAGTCACTAGACACATGCTGCTGCAAGCATGCTGAATCACAAGCTCTCTCTATCTCTGTCTCTCTCTCTCTCACATCGTATCACCATCAACGGTGCCGTCAAGGTTGATACCGAGGGAAAGTCACTAGACACATGCTGCTGCAAGCATGCTGAATCACAAGCTCTCTCTCTCTCTCTCACATCGTTCATGTGCCGTCAAGGTTGATACCGAGGGAAAGTCACTAGACACATGCTGCTGCAAGCATGTTGAATCACAAGCTCTCTCTCTCTCTCACATCGTTCATGTGCCGTCAAGGTTGATACCGAGGGAAAGTCACTAGACACATGCTGCTAGAACTAGCAGGGACGGCTGAATCACAAGCTCTCTCCTCTCTCTCTCACATGGCGTTCAACTGCCAGTCAAGAGTTGATCTACCCGAGGGAAAGTCACTAGACACATGCTGCAATGCAACTAATGTTGAATCACAAGCTCTCTGCATCGTCTCTCACATGTGCAGTCTTGCTGTCATTAGGTTGATACAGATTAAAAGACACTAGACACATGCTGCTGCAAGGCTGAATCACAAGCTCTCTCTCTCTCTCTCTCCTCTAATGTTCATTGTGACGTCAAGGTGGGATACCCTGGTAGTTGGAGCAAGATAATCAGCTTCAGCATGTTGTTTCCAAGCTCTCTCAAACACCATGCAGACATCTGCATTGTGCCGTCAAGGTTGATACCGAGGTGAAAGTCACTAGACACATGCTGCTGCAAGCATGCTGAATCACAAGCTCTCTCTCTATCGTTCATCGCACATCAACATAAGTGCTCTGATCTCTCCTGAGTATATCTCCAAGTGTTTTTTAGGCTAATAACTCCCATTCCATTCTGGCTGATGTAACGATGGGTGGCTCGCACATGGTTTATCTCTCTCCCCCCTCCCCACACACATATACACTATTCCCTCTATCTCACTCTCTTATATATACTTGACCTTAACGACAGCATAGACATGCTTTGCCAGACCATACATGTTGGTCATGTAGTTAGGTCAGCATAAAAAAATCTTTCGTTATTGAGCAAGTACATACAACTAAAAAGCCCACTATGCTTAAAGACAGCACAGACATGCTTCGCCAGACACTACTTGCAGGTAATGTAGTTGGGTTTGCATCAATGACCTATCATTACCAAACAAGCAGCACACACAACTAGTAAGTTTACTATGGTGTTATGTTTTAGTGTGACTGTAGACCTAAAGGGTCTCGAGGTATGATGTCTGACTCGAGGGCTGGTGGTGCCGGGTTTAAGCCCTGGTGTAGGTTTGGATTTTCTTATGTGCTCTTTTAGTAATTTCCCCTGGTCTCTGGGTAGTAAGACCGGACACGCGTGTGTATTATTGCGCACTAAAAAAATTTCTTGACAGTTGGAAACTGAAAAAGAGTAACCTAACGGCGCTGCCCAGGCAAAATTTGGAGTCTAAAATCTACTCAAAAAAGTATTTCAGGATCCTTGCTGGTGCTATGGAGTTCACAGACTGCAATGAGATTCTCTGGACTCAGGTTTGAGTTAGAAGTAGAATGGAGCACTTATGGGTGACTACCATTGTGCCATGGTATTGATCAGTCATCTAACCAACCATCTCACTATAGACCAGATCCTTTTTACATCACAACTGTAGCTCTACAAGATGGAGGCTTTTCACGATGTCAACACACAAGAAAGGATACGGGTTCCATTAACACCTGAGATTTTAAAATCATCCAGCAGCTGGACGGCCTTTTCACGGTGAGGATCACTTTCATCCGCTTCACGAACCTGGTGGATGGGAAAGTTCAGTATGTGATCAGTGACATAAATACAAAAACAATGTATGATGAATGCACACAACAATTAGCAATGCATAAGTAAAATTACAACTAAAATGCTATTACAAATTTGCTTGACACCCCCAACCCTTTTTTTTCCCCACAAACACAAAGAGGACATGCTTCCCAGTTTGAAAACCACTGCTTTAGACAGTCCTGTCAATGCTGTGCCCTGTTTCACATCCAGTCCACTGCGCAGAAACAGCACTAGCTTATCTGTAGCTGTCTTTTTCTTCTGCTGGAGTGCTTACATTATTCAGAGGTTTCTAAGCGACTCTATTGTTAGTACACTCTCAGCATTTATTTGGCTGGGGGGGGGGGGGGGGGGGGGGGGGTTGTGTGCGTGCGGGCGTGCGCGCGCGTGTGCGTGTGTGTGTGTGTGTGTGTGTGTGTGTGTGTGTGTGTGTGTGTATAACTTAGGTCTTAAGTCAATTTGGCTTTAAAAGTTACTGGATTCACAAGGAAGCTGCTCTAAATGTTATATTTAGTAAATATATTCACATCCGGGCCTCCTAAATAATGTGCAGGTGCACACAGAACCAAATGGCATTTAACTGAATCCAGTAGCTTGGTATACACCGTGCTGAAACCTTAAAATCTTCCTCCAGACAGGAAGTTCCAATGGCAGTTTTGCACACCCTCTTAGTTTATGAACTTGCAAATGGGAAAGAGAACTCTGCAATAGCCCCATGAAGATGACACTTCCAGAAACCATTCTCATCCCAACAGATGGAAGTCTTCTTCCATTCCCAATAAACCTGAAGGCCGTGGCATCTGACTTTTAGGCAATCAAGTCAATGTTTCCTAATTGTATGTTGAATTAAGAATCAACATCACAGCACTATGGGCATTCTCATAAGCCTTCGTCCCCATCTTCAGCAGCAAGCGAAGAGTTCCAATTCTAATGGTACCAGTAAAACATGACTACTTCATTTAGAAATATTGATTTTCTTCACCTGTTACTGTAGTGGTGCCCCTGATGGCATACAGCCAAACATGCCAGGTAATATACCATGCAACCTATTATTTGCACCACAGAGAGCAGTGTTATACAGTGATCACAGAGCCAGAAATGGACTGCGGAAACATTATAGATTCTGAAAAGTACTTTATACAAAGCGAACAGAAGGGCCGGTCGGTTCCAGGGATCTCTTCCTACCCTGATGCCAAAAGTCATTCCAGGAGTAGAGAAAAGAAGATGATGATTGTTTGTGTCTTCTTGGTTTAAATTAGAGAGTTTTTGTAGTTCTTTAACAGATCCCTCTACAACCTGCCTCTGTCATTATCATGCTCTAACTCTTCTTCTTATAGTCCATACTTTGTGGCACTGATTGTCATGTCTATCCACAACCTTCTGCCTCGTGTATTTTCAATCAATTCTCACACTGAAGATCTTCCATGCCATGATGTCGGACTGTCGACTATCTTCTCTTTGTCTCCCTCTGCCTCTTTTCCCTCCACCTTTTTCACCATTGTGATGTGTATAGACATGATTTTTCTTTGAAAAATACCTACAGTGGGTTGCAATTTGAGCTGGTGAAATACCTTATGTAAGAATTCTACGTGTGTACAGTAACCAACTTATCATGCCCGACTACTTCCACCAACAAAAAAACTACATTTTTGGTGGCGACTGTTGACTTTGGCGCCTCGAGCAACTGAAATACGCATTTACTGTGTGCACATATTTCTGGATTCTTCTGGAACTAGTTGTTTATTCACCAATTTTTCATATGCGACATTTCATTTGATTCGCACTGGCGCAGGAACAGGAGCAAGTATGGGGAACCCGACTGCGGTGATGTCGAAACCTCGACTAACTAAACTAGCTAGCTAGAGGTAGCATTTTCACACTCCTACATGTCGAAACAATCAATCATCTTCAACAGTGAGTTCCTGCTGGAGAGAGGACATCTGTTTTCTAGACTGTACTTAACATCACAAAAGTTCACAGAGAACTCATAGAAAGAGAGGAAGAGAAAGGCTAAAGAGAAGATGGGTGCAGGATTTGGCGGATGATCTCCAGATGAGTGTATCAGGGACATCTTGCTTGTAATCAAAAAAATGTCCGCAGGGTTGTTATGGGAGGAAAGCTCTGCAAAGGACATGCTAATGACTGACTGACTGAGACTGTACTTATACATTTTAATAACTTCCAAGACTGTACTTATACATTTTAATAACTTCCGAGACTGTACTTACACATTTTAATAACTTGATCTCATCCAGAGCTGTCTCTGTGTAGTGCTGGGCACTCTTGACCACTTTCAGAGCCACAAACCGCTTGCAGCTGAAAGCAAATGAAAACAACAACAGTACAGGTGAGTTTCTTTCCTGCAGGTTTTCTGTTGCCAATAATTTTCTAAAGGGTCTTGAGCTGAGCCCACACACAACCCTTCTCCTTTTATCTGGGCCATTTAGGTAAATAAACTAAATCAAGAGGTGTAAGGTGCAAAGAGACAGTTACAGATGAAAGATATACTGGACATATTCCGAGAAGGGAGGAAAAAGAATCTCTGAAATGGAAAACAAAGGGATTGAGGAAATAAAGACATTCAAAAGAAACCCTGAGGCAAACGATGAGAAAAGCCTAAGGGATGGGACTGAATTTCAGCCCTATGTGACACACAACTGAATAAGATAATGAATGCATGAATTAATTAGTTAATTAATCAATGAAGGAATACATGAATGAAAGAAGCAGGGAAGGAGTAAATGAATAAATAAAGGTAGGAATGAATGAAGGAAGAAATGAATCAGTGAAGGAATCAATAAATAAAGGTAAGAATGAATGAAGGAAGGAATTAGTCAATGAAAGAATGAATAAATTAGGGATGAAATGAAGGAGAAATGAATTAATGAAGGAAGGAAAGAATGAATGGGAAAAAAAATGGATGAATAAATGAATGAATGAATGAATGAATGAGCAAAGAAATGAATGAATGAATATAGGAATGAATGAAAGAATTAATAATAAACGAATGAATGAATGAACAAATGGATGAATGAACGAATGGATGGATGAATGAACGAGACTGGTTTGTGTCCTAGTGGAAGCAAGTTTACAACCTGAAAAAACGTGCCCTGAAATTAGATTGTAGAGCCACTGGGTATTTTATTGCTGAGGATGACACAAATGTAATTTGATGAATCCTGTCAATGTCAGGCAAAACGTGTTTATCTGTATCACCTGAACAATTTCACGCTTGCCTGCTGGTTCAGTGTTTAACTGACCTTGACCTAGCTAACACCACACAGCTGATGCCTTATGTTGCAGAAAATGGTTTTCTATGAATTTGTTACCTGAATCAGCTCCAGTTCAGAAATAAGTATCACTGTTTGCCAATAACTGATACTTGAAATATTTTGCCCACATTAAAAGGCATAACACTATTTTAAAAACCATACAGGAAGGGCAGTCTGAGGACAAGACAGCAAGCGGTAGACAATGATACAAGTGGGAGAACTATATGAAGAGATAGGCAAATAGCAGTCGGAGACAGTGTACAACCAAGACAAGGCACAGAACATGTTGGAGATCCATTGCAGCCAACCTTTACTGTGAAGACAGCAACTAGTCCCCTCTTTTAGCTTAAGAGAGTCAGTGTTTTTACCGTCTCTAGTTTGTTTATTCCACGGATCAACATCATGGCACTAAGTGAAAAGAATCTCAGCGTAGTTCACAACTCCACTGCACCGCTAAGGATCCTGAAAGTACTTTGGGTAGATTTTTAACTCCAAAATTGTTCCGGGCAGTGTCGTTAGGCTACTCTTTTCGATTCTCCAACTGCCAAGGAATTTTCTGCATGCGCAACAATCCACACGGGCGTCGATCTTACTACCCTGAAACCAGAGGAAATTACTAGAAGTCCACGTAAAAAAAATCCCAGCCTTCACTGGGGCTTAAACCCAGGACCTCCAGCACTCGAGGCGGACACCATTCCACGAGACCACTCAGCCCCGGTCGTCTCTAGTTCCTTTTCTTTAATGACTTTAATGTCATCTGCATAACCAAGTATTCTTCTAGATTCTTCTATAGTGAACTCTTCTTTCACTTTCCTTAACACTTTCTTGACACCTAAGTTGAAAGAAAGTGGGGACAGAGTATAGGCTTGCTTCAAACCAGATGTTATTTGAGAAGGGTCTGACTTTCTGCCTTTATATGTTACCATAATATTAGTGCCTTTCACATAAAGTCTAGTCCTTTACAGCATTCAACAAACTATTTCTTCTTCTTCGTGTTCACCAGCTGTAAACTCCGGCAGAAAACTGGTTGTTTCTCCACTTGTGGACTCTAGTCCTGTTCCAGAAACTGAGTGTTGCGTGTACATTCGTTTTACAGATCTGAGTCATGGGTATGCAAACTTTCATTTCCATGAATAATGGAACAATTTTCTAGTTTTATTTCTGAAATTAATAACCACTTTCTAGCTTTGACTGAGATCCATTACCAGTTTAAAGCTCTATGCCTGATACCAATAACCAGTTTCTAGCTTTATGTTTGACACACACACAACCAGTTTCTATCTTTATGTCTGACACCAATAACCAGTTTCTATCTTTATGTCCGGCACCAATAACCAGTTTCTATCTTTATGCCTGCCACCAATAACCAGTTTCTATCTTTATGTCCGACCCCAATAACCAGTTTCTATCTTTATGCCTGCCACCAATAACCAGTTTCAAGCTTTATGCCTGACACCAATAACCAGTTTCAAGCTTTATGCCTGACACCAATAACCAGTTTTAATTCCTTATGTCTGACACCAATAAACAGTTTCTATCTTTACGTTTGACACCAATAACCAGTTTCTATCTTTATGCCTGCCACCAATAACCAGTTTCAAGCTTTATGTCTGACCCTAATAACCAGTTTCAAGCTTTATGTCTGACACCAATAACCAGTTTCAAGCTTTATGCCCGACACCAATAACCAGTTTCAAGATTTATATCAAGATTTATGCCTGACCCCAATAACCAGTTTCAAGCTTTATGCCTGACTCCAATAACCAGTTTCAAGCTTTAGGTACAAAACCAATAACCAGTTTGAAGCTTTATGCCTGACACCAAAAACCAGTTTCTAGCTTTATGTTTGACCCCAATAACTGGCTGCCAGCTTTGTCTGCCACCAGTTGAGGAAGGAGCACTTAGGAAAATGTCACAGGGCCTGCCTGCAGTGAAGTGTAAAGGCAAACAGACAACTTGTAATGAAAGTACTCACTGGAGATCCCAGCTCAGCCAGACAGTAGAGAAGTGGCCCCAGCCCAACTTGCGGACAATGTGGTAACGGCTGTTGAGCAGGTCCCCAATCTTCACCGGATGGTAACCTCCTTTGCAGTAGTCGCGGGGGTCCTCCTGCTCATCATCATCTGACCCAAGGATCTCCTCTTCCTCGTCCTCCTCTTCCTCATCGTAGTGAGGCTCATGGTGCTTCTTGGGATCATTTGATCTGTGACAGAAAAATGGATAACCAAAATATATAATATGTACCGATAGGGCCTCGGAACCCACATGGGGAGTTTAGCCAATATTATAAGCATCAATGCAGTAGTCAGGCATGAATGTAACGGCTGAAACCGCAACTTACGCTTACCATTGCACAAGTAAATTGCATGATTTTACTACTGATCATGACTGTTTAATATTTATTACAAACCTGCCGTTCAGATGATGTCTCACCTCGCACATAAAGCTCAACATAGCCAAAAGTAATAGGGCCCCGGAACCCATAAAGAAAGTGACTAAGACAAAACTGAATATTCAACACAGCTGATGTCAAATGCAGAAGAAGGATATCAAATCGGGGAGGAAAGTCTCTACAAACAACTTTCCCTCGAAAAATGTTACTCCTCATTGAGAATCAGACTAGTCTTGAGAGGATAAAGCCACAGGATTGCAAAGGATTTGCAAGCAAGCAACCGAATCACAGATAAAAAAGTAAAAATAGTAAAGGCCCCCTTTTCCACGCTTGTAGGCGCATAGGGCTAGACCTATATTTGTATATGGACCAATTGGCACAAGATGGTTGATGTGGTCAGCATCACGCTGGCCACCTTTACTTCCCAGGACTGCAGCCAGTACCCACTCGAGGCTGGGTCGACCTGGGAGCCAAATCGACAAGATAATAAACCATATTCCCAAAAAAAAAATACAATATGTTTTTCTTCATCTTCCATCAGAAGACATGCATTTGTTTTGCCCATTTACAACATGACTGCAATATATGCACCTTTCAGTCTGCACATCTGACTTCTGCAGGCATTTGTCGCCTGGGTTAGCTTTCCCGGTAAATATAACAATAAATATAAATAATATAAAAGTAGATATAAATAAAATAATAAAAATCAATATCATGCAAATACAAGTCAACAAGTGATCTCAACTGCACAATCAAGTGTCGAAATATAATCGCAAAATCTAGGCAAATAATCTTGAATAATAACCCATCAGGGAACAGAATCTAGCTGAAACAAAAGTAATCAACTAGCACTAACTGTAATAACACAACCAGAGAATAATCTATGATTCACATAAATTAACTTCCCCATGGCAAGCTCTGAAACATAATCAGGACGCCACAATAGAAATGCAATTTATTTTGTCACAATCAAGTGCAGGCAGCTTCTTCTTTCTTTCCCCCCCCCCCCCCCCGCTCGCCCCTGTGGCAGTTTTAAGAAATCACGGAGATTAATACTGCTTTCCGGGTTCCAGAGTGCCGTGTGACTCTCTACACAAACATACCAGAACCCCCCTATATAATCAGAGGATTGGCCCTGTTACCCCCCACCTCAAGTCACTGCCACCAAGCCCATGCTTCCAAGTTCAAGTCCCTTCATGATGTCATAGCAGTATTCAGAAGTCATGCATGGGACAATGCTTATGGATCAAACTAGGTAGGAGTGTCTGTTACCGGTTTTATTCAGCCGAATAGAAGAGTGGGACCAACTATCTCGGACCTTGTTACGACTGGTGTGGCGCAATAGATCAGACACAGTTTGTGTACTGACACACACCATGACATGTACTGGCAGAATCTTCTCTGTCTGCTTCCCTATTCTATATATCTTTCCAGGCTGGCACTAAGTTCAATTTTACCTTTCTCATGAGGACTGTCTTCCAAGCTGAGGTTCTAGCCTATTTCACTGCCACTAAGCCCAAGGTATTTTAAGCTTGCTTCCACAGTCTGAGTCCCAAAACATTGTTTGTATCCCAGTCATTAGCAAGTCATGCATGTAGCAAGCAAGATTGCCAGATGTTCTTTATTTTTTTAATTTAAAAAGCATGTCCTAATTTGTGTTTATTTAGTAATGCAATTCATCTTTCATTCTGATTTTACCATGTGCCAAATTCGTTAGGTTCAATGTAAAAGGCACTCTTTTACAATATCTCAATTTGATTTGGGAAAAAGACACCCCGAAAGAACAAAAAAAAAACAGCTCAACAGTTGTTAGATTTTGATATTTCGTTGCAGGGAACACGGCGGACCAGTTTGAGTTGTCGAGGATTATTAATCAAGAAAATTGCTATGTATGTGTAGGAATAGGTGAATTCCATGCGAACAAATGCACATTGACAGTACTGTTATTTTGAGAGGGGAAATTGCAGAAAACTGAAAAGCTGTCCCATTATTATTTTTTTTTACATTTTTTTAAAAATCCATGCAAATGCACATTGACAGTATGGTAAGGGAAATTGCAGAGAAAAACTGCAGAAAAGCTGTCCCATTATTATTTTTTTATTTATTTTTCAAATCATCAAACCTTATGGTAACTGGCTGTTGAAGCTACAAGTTGCAAGTCAAGCCATGGGTCACTAGACACAACCTCAGGTCGAGTCGGAAGTCAATCATGTGGCTCAGGTCACACTTGAGTCCAATTCACTGAGTTCTGACCTTTGCCCTACATCTATACAATATGCTTGCACGTTTCGGAGTATGGGAACCCCAACATGCAATGCTTTCCAGCATCAACTGTTCTCCACAATTAATCCTGAGTGTTTATCAGGGGTGTTTCCTTTATGTGCTAGTCCAAGCACACAATCCCAGCATAGACAGTACATCTGGGATCTGTCCTACATCTGGGATTTGCCTGCACATTTGGGATCTGCCTGCACAATTGAGATCTACATGCACATCTGGGATCTGCCTGCCCATTTGGGATTTGCCTGCACATCAATGCTTTGCCTGCACATCTGGGATTTGCCTGCACATCTGGGATCTGCCTGTACATATGTGTTTTTCTGCCTATCTAGGATCTTCCTGTATACCTGGGACCTATTCTATATCAAGGATTTGACTGTACATCTGGGATCTGCCTATACATCTGAGATTTGCCTTAACATCTGGTATCTGACTGCAAGTGGGACATCTGGGATGTCCTACATCTGGGCTTTGCCTGTACATCTAGAATCTGTCCTACATCTAGGATCTGCCTGCACTGCACATCTAGTATCTGTCCGACATGGACATCTGCGATCTTTCTGTGGATGGACCACTTATCAAATCTAAAAAACACCCCAGTTATCACATATGTCAATGGAACATACCAGTTATCAAATCTTTATAACATCCCAGATATCATGTTTATCAACGGAACACACCAGTTATCAAATGTACATAACACCCCAGTTATCAAGGAGTTTAGCCTAAGACTGCCGACCACAACTACAAAATGGCTCATGACTTAACAGTGGTCTAACCAGTCCAGTCTAACTGAAGCCCACACAATGGGGAGCACCATAGCTTACCTGGAACTGGTAGATTCATCCACCTGAACACGCCCAGGATCTGGGGTAATATTTTCATTGACATTCTTGCACACTGCTGTCACCTGCTCCGGAATACACAGAGATTTTTCATTTGCTAATTCACTGTTTGTGATGGATTGTTCCTCTGCTAATACACTGTTGGTGTTTGAATTTACATCCACCAAAGGAATCTGGGGCAACAGATCAAGACTGGAATGAGCCAAAGTCTCCATATTGGCATTGCTGTCTTGAATGACTGGCAGCTCCAAAGCTGTATCATATGCTGGCGTGGGTTCCAGCCCAGTGCGGACTACAGATGTGGAAACCATTCTCTTCCTGTGCCGTCCCTCGGCGTCCCGGAACAGACTTATACACAAACAGGTGCAGGCATTACCAGTTGGCGTGACCACGTTGTCACTCACTGGCATCGAGACAAGACCACACAACCCGGATGTTCAGTACAGGAAACACAGGTGGACAAAGCAAGGGGTAAGCCCAGGAAATCTGACTCCGTCCACAATGAGCAACCCCAAGGGAAATCTGACTCCGACCACGATGAGCAGCCCAAGGGAAATCTGACTTCGCCTATGACGTGTAGTGAAACAACGGTGGGCACAACAAAGTTTAGAGAAGGAAATCTGACTCCATCTACAATGTGCAGCCCCAAGAGAAATCTGACTCCGTCTACAATTTGCAGCCCCAAGGGGAATCTGACTACGCCCACGACGTGTAACAAAACAACGGTGGGCAGAATAAAGTTTAGCCTAGGAAATCTGACTCCGTCTACAATGTGCAGCCCCAAGAGAAATCTGACTCCGTCTACAATGTACAGCCCCAAGGGAAATCTGACTCCGTCTACAATGTGCAGCCCCAAGAGAAATCTGACTCCGTCCACGACATGAAGCGAAACAACGGTGGACACAACAAGATTTAGCCCAGGAAATCTGACTCCGTCCACAATGTGTGGCACTCAGGGAAATCTGACGTCCACAATGTGTAGGTCCAAATAAATTCTGCCGATACAGTAGATCGCATTATCTTACAGGATTATGTCAGAATTGCGCAATGTGCCTCGTCTGACCAATGCCGCCATCATATCGTTTCACATGTGTACAGAAACAGAAAATCTCTTATATCAGTAACTTCTGGCACCACGTTCTGCAGCTGGCAAATGTTTTTATTTAGTCCAGAATTAACACGTAAATTCCCAACACTGGGCCGCAGTTTCCGAGGTCAAGCCATTTCCAAAGTGGCATGATATGAACTAAGGCCTCATTTTCTCAATTCTTCATTTCCATTCTACACCCATCACAAGATGTTCTCTATAGACCGGGCTGGGTCTCAAATAATCATTCCGTGACGTCCGTAGTCAAATTTAGACAATATCTCTAACAATCGGAGTTTATCGGCTGGGCATTATCCATAAGAAAATCACAATCCACGGTTTTCTATCGGTAGCTCCTGCTGGGGGAATCCAAACGGGCATAAGGAACAAGAAACACAAGTAGGATTCTGACTTGAAGCAGTGGAATTTCATCACCACCGTCGCTTCAGGACTGGCGATGAATGAAATAAGACAGCTGGATCCAAAGGGGTCGGTGAGAAGAAGGTTGGGGGGGGGGGGGACCTAAGAACCGAGAACAAATGGGAGGGGGGCGGGGGGCAGACAAGAAAGTGTTTCCATTGGCTATTGACGTCCTTCCA